CACAGCAGAATACCGATTCTGTGTTGGTTAGAGACAATTTACGAAAAGAAATGTTATTTTCAAATTTCCTGAGGTTTTCGCACATAACTACAACATAGTGTCGTTACACTTCTCTATTGATTCTCTAAAGAATGACACCTTGCTCATAGGGACCCATCACCTTGCACAGAATTAAATTGAGCCAAAATTACTAAACGAAGCCATCCGTAATTTAAATCCTGTGAACATTCGTAAAACTTAAGAAAAGGACATTTCTAGAAGATGCAAAATTTAAGTCTTGAAAACATTCGTAGGACTTCCGAAACGGACCTTCCTAGAGCATAAGAAATTTAAGTCTTACGAACATCCCAGGGATCTTCAAAATGGACGTAGGACATACGGATATAAACTGGACATAAAATGAACGTCCTTTGGATGTATGGTGCTATTTGGGTACAGTAATGAATGATGATCGGTCATATTCTATTACTACTTGCGTAATTGGTTTCATTTTAAAGTAACGGCAGTATTATATGTATAGTGGAGAGTTGCTTACATCGTCCCCCTTAAGATAGTTTATGTTATATTTCATATTGGGCGCTAATCTGTACACAAATTAATATTGGACATTATAGTTTGATGTTTAAAACATCTATTACTAGATGTTCAAGCTTTTGTCAAGAACAACTGAAGTTGTTATAAATAATTTTCTGATATACTGTGCGAAGTATAATTTAAGCAACCGGTCTTCCAAATTGTACCTCCTTTAAAACTAGTAAATTTGCGAATCGAAATAATGAATAAAATATGAGTGAGAAGTAACACTACTACATATTTGTACATATTAAGAACAATATATATATATATATATATATATATTATATTAATATTAATTCATATTGGATATTAAATTACATTTTATCAATAAGAAATGAAGTTCTATGTAACAAAAATATTCTTGTTTTTCATTTTTCTTGTGTTATATAAAAGTTTAGAATTATATGTCATAATTGTACCGGTACGATTTAAGGTACGTTATGGTGGTACGATTTCGGAAATATGATCAATTTATTTACAAACAACAATTTAACCATTGCAATAGATGTGATATACAGGGTGTAATAAAAAGGTTGGAGGACCCGGAAATGGAAGACTCGTGAGGTGCTGTGAAACAAATTTTTCCTTAACAAAAATATTATCCGAGGCTTTTTTAACGAGATATTAACGAAAAACCCCGACCAATCAGAACTCAGCCGGCACTAAGCCTTTGAAAGGGGTGATTTCCTTAGCGAAAAAGTTGTTTCAAATCACCCCAGGAATTACCCCCTTCGAGAACTTACAACTATTTTGGGATACCCTGTATGGATTAACTGAATGTAAAGTATTCTGCAAGAAATCTAATCTTAGAAAAAAAAAAACAAAAACACACAATCAAACTGTATTGTTAGATTATTATCAGCTAAAATAAATTGATCACAAGTTACACCAATTGTTCTTGTTTTTGTTTTTTTTTTTTAATATTTGTATCACGTACATAATAGAATGTAATCTAGAAATATTTTGTATATATTATCTATTGCTTATGTATTGCATATTTTTTCTATTAGATGTCGTTTATATTCATCAATTATAAAGACATTTATGAGGTCACTTCCAGTTTTATGTTGTTCGGTACTGTACGGCTATAGTCACTTCCGGAGATGAGATTAGAGCCGATTGATATGCCATTTAGGTTTGCGTTTAATGAACGACCCGCATCCTGGATATCGGCACTCCCTGGCAATTCCTTCAAATCGGCTAGTTCTATATCGAGGAGGGTGTTCCATTAAAGTTACTCAGGTTATGTCATCCTCCAGCACAATTCCAGCTGATGAAACAGTCAGCAAAATAAGGCCTGGCAGAGCGAAAAATTTTCTTGCCAAGTAGTTGTCGTATGCATACACCTACTTACTAATTCGTGCATTTTTGCAAGGTTTTCCACTTCGACTGAAGAGCATTTAATTAAAATACTAGAACTAATACGAAATGTAATAATTGATTAGTAATATCTTCGTATTAACTGTAACTTGTAGAAAGTTACTTTTTTTTTCTTTAAATAAATCTGACATAATAATAGATATGAAATAAAAAATTAAAATTAAAATAAACATATTGAGAATGCTAAAATTTTTAGGTACGTTTAGGAATACTATTATGTCAAAATGAATATTCACATTTCAAGATAATTCCGATTTCTGTTAGTAAACTTATAATATTCTCTTGATAATGTATTACCATCTTTAAAATTATCACACATTATAATAAAAAACTAAAAAATTGTTGCATACATGTTTAACTATGTAGCACGTTTTAATGTTCATTGCTTCAAATGTATTAAACGATTTCGGAGTTTACATAAGCTACGAAACTGAAAATATTCAAAATGGATAAGCTTACATAATTATTCTATAAAATTTTTAATATTTATTAACTTTTTAATATATCTTAATATTTATTCTATAAAAGTTTAGGGCACACGTAATTTTGAATAGGAGAGCGTTGTGCAATACTGATCGGCGTGTGCAGTAACGGCCAAGGCTGGTTCTCGCTTCCACTTTTACATGGCTGGACTTTACATACAAAAAACGGAATGAATATTGTAGTTCTATGTAACATATTCTGAGGCCGTATTATTTACTTCAATGTTACCAACGTTCTGAGATGTTGCATCTGTACATTGATATTCAGCACATAAAAAGTTATTTTTCAGAGTGGACCTTTTGTTTCTCAAGTAATTAAATGACGTTGTCATACTGTGTACACTATCTTCTGATTATTAGATTTAAATAAATAGCACTAGTTTTGCAATTATTTTTGTACTGTCGTGCAGTCCCGATCACTCAACTATCGTCCAGTACTGACCAAACTTTTCCTTTCCTTCCTGCAATTAATGTTTTCGAGGAAAGATGTACAAGCCAACAAACGATAACTCTGCAAAGAGGAAACTAAACATTGATAAAGAAGTTACTGAGTGTATCATTTGCAGTCATTTGACGAAGACTGGGTGCAGTGCATGAAATGTAAAGGTTGGGCAGATGTCGAATGCACAGATCAAGAAAATATCGATCGTTTCATTTGCGACGTTTGTAAACATAAATTTTGTGTCAGAGTCTTCTATTCGAACATTCAAATGTCTTTATACTAACATTATTAATTACTTAGACCTAAAACTCTACTTACCAAGTAACTAATCGGTACTGGATGACAATTTTTTATTCGCTACAAATTATAAACTTTCTATGTTAGCGCTCGTCGCTAACACAGGTTTATGGCACGGTCAGGGATTCTTAAAATTGATTGGAAACCCTCGGAAGGAAACGTGTTCCTGACATTTGGCAACCAAATGTGCAGGAGACCCACCTTGGAAGGGTCCGCATGACCATCGACGTTCCATAAACCCCAGACTTCGGGACGGTACCTTTGCGCGGGGACTTAACGGTTTCTCGGAACCGCGTGAGGAAAGTGGAACCGACGGGAAAATCCGCGCTGTTGACAAACTGCCGTCCACCCCTATTGTCAGAGGGTTGCGACAACCTCCTCCTTTAAAGTATCGCGCCAAGGGCGCATGGAGGGGATGCACGGGCCCAGCAACCTTTTTTCCGGACAGTTTGTTGAGACAGTTAGTCAGAGACAGAGTCAAGCAAACAGTCACTCAGTACAGTCGCACCTATTGATAGAATTTTAGAACTATCCAACAATCAGGTTGGAGATCGAAGTGAACAGTTAGGTTCATTGTTGTATTTATTTAAGAGCACTCAGGCTCTTTCTGTAGATACCGTTAATAAATATAGTTCAGTTATTAGTCCCAACATTGGGTGGTCCTTCGAGTTTTACTAAGACGGCACCTCAGTGCAAATACCCGCGATCTCGACCAAATCAAGTGTGATCCTATCATTCTATTTTTGCTAATTATCAATCCTCATTAGTAACTTTACGAAGCACAATTACCCTCCTCTTATTAAGTTCCATTTATACGACAAATTACATTTTTATACTTCATCTTCACAGTGACTAGTCTAAGTTCCAGTAAAAAACCTTAGAGTGATCGGTATTGCACAACTAAAACCTAATTATTTCAAGAAAAATAAATAACAACATGATTGACTGCTTTCGACTGAAAAAACTAAGATGATCCTTAGATGTAAAAAACGAATTCGAATGATGGAAACTCAATCCTAGGGTAATTATCTGCAAAGAGGCACACATCAGATTTCGATGACCTTGATATATGTTGTCAAGGTCATCATTCTGAATGCAAGCACACATTCTTTCCAGTTGTCTTTCGCTTTATTTCCATTCTTTTAAAACATTTCTGTAGTTAACTTAGGAGCACTTAATCCTCGATTGATCCTTACTTTTCACAGAATTTTACGTTTATTACGACCATCAGGAAGACATGAACATCTTTTTTGAGGAATAGATTTAATACGATATACAGTTGTACAAACATTTGTTCGACATCAAGATTAGTTTTAATTTTGTTTATTCAAACAACTCAACTAGCTGACAGTTTAGCTCGTATCCAGTGGTGGGTAAAAAGTAATAAACGGAGGCCGCGCACACCTTTCAAGATATGTAAACAAAATTTATTATTTTCATCGTTTTTCAAGTAACATTTTGTCCATTTTCAATTGCATGTAGTTATTGCTGCATTAATGATGCAATTTCGGATTTATTCAAATTGAAATCAGCACATATAAGACAACATTTTTGACCAACGTGCTGTCTGTTCTCTGATTCTAACCTCCAAAATATATTTTTTTATTTTTTAACGTCGTGGGGTATTGACGAACAAATCGGATGGCGACTACTGAAGACTGGATCCTGTGTTACAAATGTAACTTATTACATTTCTGCAATTTCTACAAAATCTGAAGTATTGTTGGGATGGTATGTGAACTTACTTTCTATGTTACAAATGATCAAAGTATATTCATCGGTGGCGATATACTGTTTGTTTAAAAGAGAAATCATGGATTGTGATGTTTCTATCTCTTCTGATGCGATTAGCCGCACAGCCTGTAAGTATTCGATACTTCGTATTTTCCGAAATGGTGGTTTAGGCTGTTGGTACACGTTTTCCTGTTTTCATTGTCCATTTCATTATGTTTTTAATGTTTAAATTCACCTTAACCCCTTGACATACAATGACGTCTCTAAGACGTCATGTATTTCATGTGCCATGGTAGACTTTGACGTCTCCGAGACGTCAAGAAATCTCTTCGGCGAATACCGGGCAGTATAATATTATTGGATTATCTGTTTCGGTCGTGCATCAATGCTGTTTTGTTTAGACAGTCGAAGATGCTTTCCCCTTCTCAATAATATCGGTAACAAAATCGTATCGGCAAACAGATAAACAGAAAGAAGCGCAATGCCGTAGCATATATTTGAATTTTGTAAAATTAGAAATAGTTCTCCCAACATGTCTCTGATTTGAATACATTATATGTAAGTGACGACGAAAGTCTATTAGGCTATTCTAGTGGTGATAATGAAATTGAAAATGGTCATCAAAGTGTTTATGCTGTTGAGTATTCAAGTGATGCTTCAAATTCAAGTGAAGCTAGCTCTATTCAACAAAATGTGCGTAAACGTGCAAGACCTATTTCGAGCAGTGAAGATTCTGACACAGAGGATGAATGGAACTGGAAAGAAGAAGAAAATATTGTCAATATAAAACAATTTACTGCAACTTCCGGTATCAATTGTTTAGTTTCACGAAGATTGGGTATAAATGCAACAACTTTGTGTGTTTTCAAAGAAGTATTATGTGATGATTTTTTTGAAATAATAGTTAGAGAAACGAATAGATATGCAGCACAAATGAAAATGGTAGAGGTAACGAAAATGAAGGAGGAGTGGTGTCCACTAACAAATGATGAAGTTAGAGCATATTTTGCATTATGCATTATAATGTCTCAAATAAAAAAATCTAAAATAGACATGTATTCGTCGAAACGAAAAATATTAGAGACTCCCATATTTTCGCAAGTTATGCCTCGTAAACGTTTTTTGGCCATAACGCACTATCTTCATTTCGTGGATAATGAGACGGTTTCTACAGAAGACAGAATACGAAAGGTTCGATCCGTCGTGGATTTCTTGAATGCCAGATTTCGACAGTTATACACTCCGGAAGAAAATATCGTCATAGACGAGTCCCTCATGAAATTGAAAGGACGGCTAAATTACGTACAATTCATAGCATCCAAACGAGCGAGATTTGGATTTAAAATTTATAAATTATGCGAATCCAATTCTGTGTATTGTTATGGATTTAAAATATACACAGGACAAGACAAAATTCAAGGAAGTAATGTACCTGTATCGGAAACTGTTGTCATGCAACTAGCCGAACGCATTTTAGGAAAAGGATATACCTTGTTTTTAGATAATTGGTATTCGTCTCCCAATTTATACAAAATTTTGCAAGCGAAGAATACAAATGTTGTTGGAACGGTGAGAAAAAATCGGAAAAATATGCCAAAGGAGCTGGCATCGTACAAGCTAAATAAAGGAGAAGTAAGAACACTATCTTGCAGAGGTATCCTGTCCTTTCGCTGGCATGCCAAGAAGGATGTGTATATAATAAGCACGAAATACTCAAACGCAGAAATGGTCGATACGGGGAAAATAAGAAGAAAAAAAGGAGGCGAAGAAGAAACTGTGTCGAAACCGACTTGTGTTATGGAATACAATCGAAGAATGGGAGGTGTGGACAAGCAAGAAAGTGTGTGAAAGGATATAAAAAAATATTTTTTTATATGTTTGATATAACTATTTATAATGCTTATGTCTTATATTCAAAGTTGCCTACTTCATAAAAGCAATCGATTGTGAATTTTCGATTGAATATTGCAGAAAGTATGCTCTGTAATTTGTCCCTTCCAAACTATCCGACACGCGGCAGACCGTCGCAAAGTGAATGCCCAACTCGATTACAAGCAACATTGGGCGCATTTTCCCGAAAATATACCTGCGACAAATAAAAAGCAACATCCTGCAAAACGATGTCATGTGTGCAAAAAACATAATATAAGAAGTGAAACGACTTGGCAATGTAAAACATGCCTCGTTCCGCTACATATTCCTAAATGCTTTGAGATGTATCACACGTTAGAAAAGTACTAAATTATTATTTTATAGTATTACTTAATAAATTATTGTACACTAACACTATATATCAACCTTATTGAATGTTATATAACAATGTAAATCCGAAAATAAAACGCCCTGTTCTGAGCTTGTACAAGAGCGTTCACTATTGAGCCAAATTTAATGGTATTCTACGGACGCGTCAACGCGTATTTTATTTGTATGTCAAGGGGTTAAGGTCATTAGTTATACATATTTGAATATAACCAAACACACGCTACATCATGTAATAAAAAATAGTACATGTTGTTTGGCAAAAAAATACCAACGACTGAAACCAAATTCGCAAAAAATGTTCCATGTACCTACGATACTCCTCTTCTGAAAATAAGCAAGATATTTAGGTGTTCGGTATCAGGTTCGTCACCCTGTATATGAAATTTACATACTTCAATTATATTTATGATGTATAAAATATACGTTATAGCTATGAAAAATATCTCGTAATAATTTGATAGTCAAATAAAAAGTTAAACTATTTATACTTTGTGTATGGAGTAGCGCGCACGTTCGCACAAAATCTGAAAGACTGCCGTGGCACGGCTGGTTAACCGAAGATGACCAGTGATAATATTTTTAGAAAGGCTAGAATTTCCGATACGCAGATATCAGGGGATCGATGTGGGTACCATCTAATTATACACACGTACAATGTTATTAATAGGTTGTAGAAGGTTACACCTAAATATCTCTGTTAAGATTTAAGATAGAAGAAGATGTTAAGAGGAAAGTAGTACTTTTCAGTGAAGCAAATATGATGATATATACAGATTTTCTGACTGTTATCTTCAAAATTTCTATTTTGATGGGTTTCTTTTTAATGGCACCAAATATTTTTTACTTAACAGTATAGTAGCTGAGATCAAAGGGAGTTCAGCCAATATACGATATTGCGACCTTGAAATCACCTTGCACTAAAAAATTTACGATAAAGCAATGGTAGCTTCTTTTCAGTTAAGGAATGCATTGTTAAATGTATATCTGGACCCAGAGTCAGAGTGTATTAACAATCGATCCCTTCAAGCAGTCGCGTGGATGACAACTTGCTTGTTCGTAGTACAAGCGCACCGCGTATCCAACGCTACCACAGAAACTCAGCTGGCTCATACATACTATATTAATATTGTATACTATGAAATAGGTGCATAATTCATGCATTAAAATGTGAACGTTCCATTACCAGAAAAATGCAATTGTTCGGGGAACGTGTCGTTAAAATTCGTACGACCATAGTTCGAGACTATGTGTAAGATTTTTCAAATTTCTTAAACGCAATGAATTATTCATACAGGATCAAATGAAGTTTATAGGACAGAAGAATGTCACAGAAATTCTAACTGGATTCAGGTGCTTGGTATGCGATGGAATTTACGAAATTCTAGTCAGGACCATCACTTGTCTGTCGACACGGCGCTGCATGGCAGAGCTAAATGAAGGGTCGAATTTATAAAAAAACAGAATGAGCACAGCACATCTTCGAATAGCGTCATCGTGAAACCTTGAATGGCTTATACAAGGTGAGTCACTTAAAACCGGCCATCTGAATAACTTGGCTGCTATTGGTGATAGGACAAAATGCATCAGGCCAAAATTATTTGGTATCGAGGGGCTGATCATCCGATGTTACTAGTTTTTTGATACGTGGAGGCGTCAAGGAGATATGAAGATCATCTCTGTTTTTTTAAATGGAACGGTATGTTTTTTTACTTACATTCTGATATAGTACCATATTTCAAGACGAATACAATGTGACCTATTGGAAGGGTCATTCGTCGACTGGGTTAAGCCAATTGTGATGGATAATAATTTACTTTGAGGAAATGATCAAGCATCGTTGATTTATTTATCTAACAGTAATACACGAGTAATACAAGTGTTCAAAATGGTAATCTTGACATTGGATGCATGCTCTGAAGCGTTGCGTTGAATTTCAGTTGTGTTTATCGCGGCACAAGCTCTTACACGCTCTTTCGTAGCTTCTTTGGTTGTTGGTATTTCATTACACACTTGCTGCTTTAATTTTCCCCACAAATAGAAGTCCAGGGGTGTTAAATCAGGAGAACGTGCGGGCCATTTATGATTTCCTGCACGACCAATCCAACGATCTCCGAATGTCACGTTCAGGAATTGAATAACTATCCGTGTACAATGAGCAGGGCATCCATCTTGTTGAAACCACATAGTTTGCCGTATGTGAAGCGGAATATTTTCCAGCAGGTGTGGCAAAATTTCCGTTAAAATGTGTTTATATCTCGAAGTGTTTAATGTGTCATCGATAAAATAAAAACAAATTATTTCACCGTTACGAAGTCCGCACCAAACGTTTACAGACCAAGGACTTTGTTTATCCACTTCTCGCAGCCACCGTGGATTTTCTATTGACCAATAATGCATATTATGACGATTGACTTGGCCACAGTTTGTAAATGTGGCTTCGTCCGTAAACAAAATTTTAGTCAAAAACAGCTCATCACTCTGTAATTTCTGCAGACCCCATTCACAAAAATTTACACGGTTTTGAAAATCATTCCCATGTAATTCTTGGTGAAATGAAACATGAAAAGGGTGGAATTTATTTAAATGTAATATTCGCGAAACACTTCGTTGACTGATGCCATTTTCAAGTGCTAGCTGCCTTGTACTAGCATGGGGATTTTGTGTTAAAGCTGCTAAAATGTTCACTGTATTTCGATCATCAGTTGCTACCTTGGATCTTCGTATTTTGTTATCTACACGTCCAGTTTCTTGAAAACTTTTAATATCATTCGTAAATGCAGATCGTGAAGGTGTGACACGTTTCGGAAACCGTTCAGCATACAAACGGACTGCATCTGTTACAATTTGGCGATATTCCCCATAAACAAAAACCATATCTACTTTCTCTGCTATCGAATAACGTATTTCGGAAACTTGAGATACACTTCGCTCGGGAAAGATTTTCATAAACGACTAATCATAGTATGTACAGATGAAGAGTATAGCGTGATTGAATGTTCATTTCCATTCAACGATCCATAACAAGAGATTACGAGACAGAGATGAAGTAATAATATCAACAACTAGAGACGGCAAGGATGTGTTCGTCGATTTAAATTATTTTCCATCACAATTGGCTTAACCCGGACCACGAATGACCTTTCCAATAGGTCGTTGTATTCGTCTTGAAATACTCTATCAGAATGTAAGTAATCAAAAAGTAATCAAAGTATCAGAAAGTTCATATCTCCTTGACGCCTCCACCTATCAAAAAACTAGTAACATCGGATGATCAGCCCCTCGATACCAAATAATTTTGGCCTCATGCATTTTTTCCTATCACCAATAATAGCCAAGTTATTCAAGTGGCCGATTTTAACTGCCTCACCCTGTATAATAAATTCACCCACCAACCATACAATGTCTATTCTTTGCGTTTGCGACGCAAATTCGATTCTACATCGAAGCGATTGTGCGGCGCCGTTCGAATCGGTTCTGTGAATCTTATGTCACCTTTTGTCAATCATGCTCTATATATTTGGGTTACTTTTCCACATGGTCACCATTGACTTCGATACATTTTTGGTATCGTGTCACTAGTTTTTTTATTCCACTGTCAAAGAAGTCTTCAGGTTCTTCGGTTTGTCATCATATTCAAATCACTGCGATGCCAGCCATTTTTTTTAAATGAAAAAATCAGTGTTAGTCAGTTGATGCAAGATCGGGGCTATAAGGTGGTTGGTTACAAATATCACAGCGAAATTGTTCCAACATTTGAACGGTTCGAGGTGCAGTATGAGGTTGACCTTTGTCGTGCAAGAGCATAATTTCACCGGACATTAACCCACGTCTTTAGTTTTTAATTGTACGTTTAAATTTTATCCCCTGAGTTCTATGCACTATCGTCTTTACTAACAAAAAATTGGGTAACACCACAAACTTTACAGTTGGCGGGATTATTTATTGCAGCACTCATCGCAAGATATTGACATGCGGTAATAAATGCGAATCTGACTAAGACTAAATGGCCACCAGCTAGTTAAGGAATTAGGAAAAGATACTATCTAATTGCGATCCCGTCTACTTACTTCAATTAGCGGTAACTTTAAAATGGATCTTACTTAAAAAAACACGCCTCGTATTTTTTTCTATTGTATCTTGTAGTAGATGGAAAATATATTCCAGCATATCTCGGTCATAACCTTCAGATGGCCTTGAATGTCTGTAAAAACAGTTAAGAGGAAGTATTTGATATATCAACATAGAACGTTTAGAATGATTTTTGAATATGTTGTCGAAGGCATGATTCTGACCAACTGTTTCCTTATATATGTATAATCAGCGGACAGCCCTAGTTTCCGAGATATTCGCGAGAAACTGTCGGTACCATTACAGTGAAAGTAAAACTGCTGTTTATGGCATCCACCACCAATGACTTTCACCTTGACACACGTTGTTAAGACTTCTGCATGATTTTCAGAAGATTTTAGCCATTCATCATTGTTTGCTAAAAAATGATTGAGCAAACAAATTTGTCTGTACACCCGCGAGCAAACTCGGCTTCCACTAGGGGAAAAAGCAATGTAGGGCTTAGGGCCTTCTACTGC